CCGACCCAGGGATCAAACCCATGTCTCCTGCATCTCCTGCACTGGCAGGTGGATTCTTTACCACTGTTTCCACCTGGGAAGCCTATGGGCTTGTCATATATGGTCTGTATTATGTTGAAATATGTTTCTTCTATGGAGCTTCCCTAGTAGCTCAGCTGATAAAGAATCTGCCTGCAATGGAAGAGATCCCCGTTCAATTCCTGGGTTGGGAAGATCCCCTAGAGAAGGACATGCAACCCATTCTAGTATTCTTGCCTGGACAATCCCCATGGACAGAGGAGCCTGGCGGGCTACAGCCCATGGGGTCACAAAGAGTGGGACACGACTGAGCGACTAAGCACAGAACATGCTTTTCACGTAGTGACATCAACAGAGCTGTGCTTGAGGAAAGTGACCAGACAGCACTGCGTGGGGATGAGGAGGGACCAGCACCCTGGGACGGTGAGAAGTCTTCTGTGGCAGGTCAAGCAAGAGGTACTGAATGGTGAAGGCTTGAACAATGGCTGTGACCATGGGAGTGAAGGGTAGGGGACAGGTGCTCCAGATACTAGAGCGCTGGACTCTACAGCCTCATCTCTGGCGGGAATGCGTGGGGCAACGAAGAGAAAGTGTCAGAGCCTGAAGGCTAAAAATGATACAAATAGAAATTGGGAATCCTGGAGGAGAAACAGTTTTAGGAGAAAATATGATGTGTTCTATCTTGGATATATTGACTGTCTGGTTCAACATCTGGCTGGAGAGTACTTGAGGAAATTAGATACACAGGATAGAGCCTCAGAAATGGTCAGGTCAAGGGATATAGATATTTGAAATAATCAAGACATCTCAAGGCTTTTGATTCGTGTTCAATGTTGGCTTATGTTTTGGGCTTCTGCTTGGCCTGGCATATCTCAAGTTTAGTCTTACTATGTGGTGGTTGAATAGTTATAGGCAGAAAGGCTGTGGGTTCCAAGCTTCCTCCTCACGAGGGACATGGATTCTCATCTTTGACTGGCATCAGGAAATTACCCTTTTAGTCGATAAACAGGCAGGATGAAGCTCTGTTAGTACAGTGCACCAGAGAACGATGACTGGGCAGAACAGAGGTGGTTGGAGAGATCAGAAAACGTGGGGAGGGGAGAGAACACGGAGGTGGGGGGAGGAGGGAAAGGGAGAGAAAGAGAACAGGAGGGAGGAAGCGTTAAATGTCTCTATCCGCTGTTCTCTCCCCTTCACTGGCTCCTCGAGTTCTATTCCCCTCAACCTTCAACAGTTCTGGACCTAATTTTAAAAATGATTCTCTGCAACACCAGCTAGGTGTTTCACAACACAGCTCAGTTCTGACGCTAACTACAAGGAGACAACATTAGATTCCACAGGTTAAGGGTTCAGTCCTACAAGCCTACTCTCTTCACCCCTCACTTCGGACACCAGTTCCAAGCCCAGATTATCACCCGTGCTTCTGATGGACGATAGATTGGAGGATCCAGCAACCCCATCCTTGGGTTTGATTAATTTGCTATAGTGGCTAACAGAACTTACAGAGGGACATTTTCCTTATCTGATGACTGGTTTATTATAAAAGGATATAACTCAGGAGCAGCTAGGTGGAAGAGATGCTTGGGGCAAGGTCTGGGCTTCCCTCATAGCTCAGTTGGTAAATAATCTGCCTGCAATGCAAGAGACCCAGGTTCAATCCCTGGGTCAGGAAGATCCCCTGGAGAAGGAAATGGCAACCCACTCCGGTATTCTTGTCTGGAGAACCTCATGGACAGAGGAGCCTGGCAGGCTACAGCCCGTGGGGTCCCAAGAGTTGGACATGACTTAGTGACTAAACCACCACCGTGGGGAAAGGACCCAGAACTTCTGTGCTCTCTCCAAGCCACCTTCCCTGAATCTCCGAATGTTCATCTGGAAGCTCTCTGAACCATATCCTTTTTGGTTTTGGTGGAGGCTTCATTACATAGGCATAATTGATTTAAATCATTGCATGCTTACTCACTCAGTCATGTCTGACTCCATGTGACCCCACGGACTGCAGCCCACCAGGTTCCTCTGTCCATGGGATTCTCCAGGCAAAAATACTGGAGTGGGTTACCATGCCCTCCTTCAAGGGAACTTCCCAACCCAGGAATTGAACCAGGGTCTCCTGCATTGCAGGACCATTCTTTACTAGCTGAGCTACCAGGGAAGCCCCTTAAGTCATTGGCCGTTGGTGATTAAGCTCAATCTCCAACCCTTGTCCTCTCCCTGGAGTTCAGGAGGTGGAACTGAAAGTTCCAACCAGTTCAGCCCAGTGTAGGTCTCTACTGGGCAGTCTTTGTTCAAGGACTCTCATCAGCCTGGCTGAGACTTTCTCAGGGCTGAACTGTGGTTTAAGTTTCTTCCTTTTAAATCCTCTTTTCCTTCTCTTTCTTGTTTCAGACCTGTATTGGCACCCACTCCTGCACTTTCCACCTTTAGTCTCTTTAGGTATTTTCCCCCAGTGAGTGCCTTGCATGTCTGTTTCTGTCTTGGCATCTGAACTGACATGCAGGGATATTGATAGGACCTACCTTAATGGGCTGTTATGAAAATTCAATGACTTAATATACATGAAATGCTTAGAACAGGACCTGTAATACAGCAGGTGCTTTGCAAGTGTTAGCTGCTCTTTCTATAAGTTTATTAAGCTTTTGATCTCAAGTGATATTTTATCCTCACTAGAAAATCTCTCAGTTTCTGGACTGGCTTGGAAGCCTCTCCTGAATGCTTCAAGAGCATCTGGCCCTTACTTCTACTATGGTTGGCCTTCCATATCTACAGGTTTTGCACCTGCAGATTCAACCAACCACAGATTAAAAATATTAGGAAAAAAATTTCTGGAAAGTTCCAAAAAAGCTAAACTTGAATTTGCTTCATGCCAGCAACTATTTACATAGCAATTACACCATATTTACAACTAATTACAGGCATTTATTTTGTATTTTCACCTATTTCCATATCATTTACATTATATTAGGTGTGGTAAGTAATCTAGAGATGATTTAAAGAGGATGTTCATAGGTTATATGCAAATGCTATGCCATTTTACATAAGGGATGGAACATCCTCAGATTTTGGTATTTGTGAAGGGTCCTGGGACCAACCGCTCATGGATACCAAGGGATGACAGTATATCACATTGTTTTCTTGTCAGTCTTTACACTTTCAATGCATAATGGAATCTTGTTTTGTTCACTTTTGTGTATCAGTGCTTACCATTGTGTCTAACTCAGTGCATGTTGAATTGATGTTGTTGAATGAAAATGATTCAGTGGAATCTTAACAGATGAGTATTATTCATCAAATGGATGAGAGCTGGGAAAGAATTATAGAGAGAATTGTATACTGGGGCATGAAAAGCCTGTACTGTGTGGGTTATTGAAAGGTGCTTATTACAGCTAAAGAGTAGGGTGCAAAAGAGGGTGGTAAAAGAGGAGGCTAAGAAAGAAATCTGGGACCAGAGCACTGGGGAGACCTTAAAAACCAAGCTAAGGTAAGCATTGTGTAGGCCTTGTGATGTCCTAGTGGGCTCAAACCCATCTCTTTTAAGAAAACTTTATTTACGGCTGCTCTGGGTCTTTGTTGCTGCGCTTGGGCTTTCTCTAGTTGCGGTGACGGGGGCTGACTCTCTGGGTATGGCGCGTGGGTTTCTAGCTGTGCTGGCTTCTCTTGTGGGGCATGGGCTCCAGGCATGCAGGCTTCACTGTTTGCTGCATGTGGGCTCAGTAGTTGTGGGTCTCAGGGTCTAGAGCACAGGCTCATGAGTTGCAGTGCTCAGGCTGAGTTGCCCCATGGCACGTGGGATCTTCTCAGGCCAGGGATCCAACTGGAGTCCCCTACATTACAAAGTGATTCTCAACCATGAGACCACCAGGGAAGCCGCTACACACATCTTTGACTTCTATCTATGACTTCCCCGGTGGCTCCGTGTTAAAGAATCCACCTGCCAGTGCAGCAGACACAGGAGACACAGGAGATTCGAAGCTGATCCTTGGGCTGGGGAGAGTCTCTGGGGAAGGAAATGGCAACCCGCTCCAGTGTTCTTGCCTGGGAAACCCCAAGGACAGGGGAGCCTGGCGGCCTACAGTCCCTGGGGCCGCACTGAGTCGGAGACAATTGAGGACTGAGCATGGACACGACTTCAGGAGTCACATGTTAGTTCAGCCAGAAACTACAGATTGCCCCCAGAAGGTGGATGCTTCTCTAGAACTTTGTATAGAAGTGTAGGCATCTCTGAACATTCATTTCAACAATGCATATGATTGACCTATATTTACAAACTGCTTTGGCTGCAATGTCTCACCAAACTGTTGGGTTTCCTAACTAATGTCTTTGCCTTCATCACACTGCTGTTTAATCCATCCTTCATTCCTACTGTGAGACAGATCTTTCTAAAGCTAAATCTGGCCATCTTAGCCTGCAGTTTAATACCTTCTAATGGCACACCCTTGTTGCCTGTAAGATAACATCCAGATTCCTTAGTGTGGTTTACAGGACCCCTCCTGGTCTGGCCCTTCACCACTTCCACTTCCACCTTCCACTTCTTCCATATGCTCTCTACATCACCTCAACTGCTTGTCGGGATCAGGAAGTTTTATGCTGCTCACCCCTCCATTCATGTACACATCATTGCTGCCCGGAATGTCATTTCATCCTTACCGCCTTTTGAACTCTTTACCTGTTTTATTGGAAGTATTTAAAAAATCATCGCCTCTGTGAAGCTAGGTCTATCTTAGGGGGCAGTGGGGCACCCTCCCTTACAGCTCCATCAGACTGTGTGTACTTCTGCTCGGCACCTGCCTCATTGCAATGCAGTTGTTTGGTTACTTCCCTGCCTCCCCTCTCTAGACTGTGGCCAGAGGGGAGGACCATGTAGTAGTTAACACAGAGTCCTAGCACATAGTGCAGTGGTTGGCACATATAAAATACTGGTTAAAGAAAAAAGGAAGGAATAAAGTGAAAGCCGTTCTTTTTCTTTTGAAGGAGGTCCTCTCACCATGTGGCTGTACCTGGCGGTCCTCGTGGGCCTGTTCTACCTCCTGCGCTGGTACCGGGAGAGGCAGGTGGTGAGCCACCTCCGGGACAAGTTCGTCTTCATCACGGGCTGTGACTCGGGCTTCGGGAACCTGCTGGCCAGGCAGCTGGACCTGCGAGGCTTGCGGGTCCTGGCTGGGTGTCTGACGGAGCAGGGGGCCGAGCAGCTGAGGAACCAGACGTCAGGCAGGCTGCAGACGGTGATTCTGGACGTCACCAAGACTGAGAGCATCGCTGCGGCCACCGAGTGGGTGAAGGAGCGTGTGGGGGACAGAGGTATAGGGAAGTTTTTTCTTCTTTCATTTACTCAGGCATGAAGATGTTAACATTTTATGTGCATATATATTACACGTATATAATCTCAAAAGCAGAGCTTCAAAGACTGGCTTTGTCATTTGAGACAGTTGTGATCTTTGGCAGTGTTTCCTTTCCTTAACAATGTTTGTATTGAAAAATGAACCCAGTAGATTTCAGGCTGTTATCTCACCTTGCAAGTGAAGTATTTACAACCTAATTCTTTTCTTCACAATTCTTTATGTTTGAAGAATTTTCAAGGGGTTCTTAAGAATCAGCTTCTTCTTCCCTTGGCTAACATCTAAAATACAGACATTCCTAGAAGCCAGGCTTTGATCGTCTTCTTTTTTTAAAATAAATTTTCATTTTATTTTTTCTAATTAATAGACTGTATTCCTTAGAGCAGTGATAGATTTACAGAAAAGTTGGAAAGCACAGAGTTCCCATATGCAACTGCCTTCTTATAGTTTCTCCTATTATTAACATCTTGCATTGGTGTGGTACATTTATTACACTGATAAACCGACATTGGTACATTAGCATTAATGAAAGTCTACAGTTTACATTAGGATCCACTTTGTGTTGTATGGTTCTATAGGTTTTGCCAAATGTGAAATATCCTGTATTTACCTTTATAGGATGATGCAGAATACTTTCAGTGCCCTTAAAATCCTCTGTCTCCACCTATTCATCTCCTCTGCTCTCCCCACCTCCTCCCCAGTCCTGGCAACTGTGCAGCCTTTTACTCTTTCCATGTTATTGTTGTGCAGTCACTCAGTCATGTCCGACTCTGCAGCCCCAGGGACTGCAGCACGCCAGGCTTCCCTGTCCACCATCTCCCGGAGCTTGCTCAAACTCATGTCCATCGAGTTAGTGATGCCATCCGACCATCTCGTCCTCTGTTGTCCCTACTCTTTCCATAGTCTTGCCTTTTCTCAGATGTCATGCAGTTGGAATCATATTGGATGTAGCTTTTTAGACTGGCTTCTTTCATTTAAGAATATGCGCTTAAGGTCCCTTTGTGTTTGTCTGTGGCTTGAGTACTCTTTAATTTTATTACTGAGTAATATTCCACTGTATGTGCTACAGTTTGTTTATCCACTCACTTACTGAAGGACATCTTGGTTGTTTTGAAGTTTCTGGCAATTATGGGTAATTCCTCTTTTCTAAAGTTCATTTTCTCTGCTTATTATCCAAATCCTCTTTGATCCCCTTCTTCCTTCTCTAGTTGTTTTATGATTCATTAGGTCCTGATAATTGGACCTCTTAGATAGTTATTCATCCAATGAGTTCTAAAATAGTAATAAAATTTTTTTTTGGATTGAAGAATGTTTATTTTTTTTTAAATTTACTTTAAATTAGAAAACCGATTTTGAAATATTACTCCTACCTGAGGATGTTCTTGACTCCAGAGTCAGAAGTTATGGTTAGTTATAGCCTCTGTGCTGTATATAGTGGTTTATTTCTACTGTACTGTTACTATTATTGTTAATGTTTTCCCACCTGTTAGAGAGTGTGCTCATCAAAGACGTGGATCTCTCATAAGCATCACTGTATCCCCGTTTCTAACATATTGTCTGGTACATGGTAAGGGCTCAACAAGTGTTGAATGGATCTCATTTACACATAGTTTAATCTATTACCTTTATGCCCTTGATTTCTAAATTATTTCTTGTTCATCACAATTGAATTTCCAACTACTTGCTGGTTTTCTCAACTGGAAATTCTACTGGAAGCTCAAACTCACCGTATTTAAAGGAGAACTCTTATTGTCTCATCTTCACCAAATCTGCTTTTTGTTTGGTCCTTGAGACTGATTCTTTTCCTCTCCCTCCAACCCCAGAGCTCAAGACAAGAAGTTATACTTTCAGTCCTTTGGAAGTACTTTCTGTTTCACCCTTAAAGTGATAATATAGCCATTTAATCCAGAAAGAGTCTTTTTTAGTAGACTCCCTACCTTAGTGGGCCTTAGACTTCATTATCTTCTAATTGTGTATATTTTTTGATACTATAAATACTAAAGTTCAATTCACATTTGGTTGGCAAATTCCCTCAAATCAAAAACTATCATTAGGGTTCTGTTTATCCTCCCTGGATTCCTGCCTTCTCTTTGTTTTTGGCTTGACCTTCTTTTATTTTCTTACTGATAGAGGTGTTTAAGATTGAAAGAACATATTTTGATTTGTTTAAGATTGAAAAAGTGTATTTTTTCTAGCATTTTTAGCTGTTTTCAGCGGGAAGATTGATCAAGGTAGAAGTCTGTCATTTTTGTCCGAAACGAAACTCCTGCTTTGATTTTTATTGCTTTAGGGCTCTGGGGTCTGGTCAACAATGCAGGCGTTTTTCACTCACATGGCTGCGCTGAGTGGCTGAAGATTGAGACCTACAAGGACACCCTTAGGGTGAGCCTCGTTGGTTTGATAGAGGTGACCCTGAGCATGCTTCCCCTGGTAAGGAGAGCATAGGGGAGAATTGTCAATGTCTCCAGCATTCTGGGAAGAATTGCTTTCTTTGGAGCAGTCTACTCTTGTTCCAAGTATGGAGTGGAAGCCTTCTCAGATATTCTGAGGTAAGACTCTAAAGTTAAGACAATCTAGAAGAGTGGGATGGGGAGGGAGATGGGAGGGAGGTGTGGGAGGGACATGTCTGATTCTTTTTGATGTATGACAGAAAGCCACAAAATTCTATAAAGCAGTTATCCCTCAGTTAAAAAAATAAAGTGGCAAAGAAACCCCCAGACAAACAAAAGCAACCACTGAGCACTTAAATATGTCTTAGTCACCACTACCTACTAGTCACTAGTCACTTTCACCTATTTTATCTTATTTCATCACTTCCAAAATCTGGTATGTTTACTAGATATTATTTATTAGACAATAATTAAATACTATTGTTTACTAGATGTTATTGCTAGTCTGTTTTATACAGAAAGCCGAGGCTCAGATTTGGTGTCTATTCAAAGTTCACCTGCAACAGCGATGATTTGGCAGACCCGTGTTTCGACTCCAAGTCCTTGTCTCCAGTCACCACACCACATTTTAACTCTCAAGATATATCCTTGATAAAATTTTGTTTCTGAAGAGAGCATGACTGTCCTCTTTCCTCCTGTCCTCGTCTCTTCACGGCGACTCTTTCTGGTGCTCATCTGCTTCCAGTTAACTTATTTCATCCCTTTATTCTGTATATCTTCTCTTTATCTAATCATTTCTTTTCTTTCTTATTACTTTAGTTTGACACAACCCTCTAATGGCCCTGCCTCTACCTCCTGGCTTTTAAAAATACCTCATTTCAGCTTCCTGCTCCTCTGTCAGCAGTTCCTCCTTTTCATAGTTCCCTTTGTATTTTAATTTCTGAGACAGAGAATCCTGTTGGGCCTGAGATCATTTTTTTGTGTGTTCTGTGTGACACCGCATGGAGTGATTTTTTTGCACTTGCTATCTGTTAGGCACTGCTGTGGGTATTTTACATCTAATGAATCATTTAATTTTCATAGCAATCCAATGAGGAAGAAGTTATCTTTGTCCTTATTGTATGTCTAGGGAAACTGAGGCACAGAGGTTCAGTAATTTGCCACGGCCATCTCGGTAATAGCGGGCTGAGCCACTGTCCAGTCCTAAGAGGGCTCTCCTCCCATCAAGGACCCTTCCTGGTCCTGCCAGCTGTAGACATGAGGATGCAGTCACGCGGTACAGAATAGCGTGCACTCTCCTTTAGCAGAGGCTGACTCTAGGGGCAGCTTCTCTTAGAAACAAGCTACGAATATTACAGACACCATGAATTAACTTCCTATGGCAGTTGTAAGAAATTTCCAGAACTAATTTACGGTGTATGGTATCTTACAACAGCACACATTTATTCTCTCACAGTTCTGGAGTCTAGGAGTCTGAAATCAGCATCACTGGGCCAAAGTCAGTTGTTGACAGGGCCATGTTCTTCTGAAGGCTCTAGGAGAGAATCTGTTACTTGCCTCCTGCTTCTGGTGGCTGCTGGAATTCCTTGGCGTGTGGCCACATCAACCTCTGCCTTTGGTCACTTTGCCTTCTTTTCCTCTGCCTCTCTTATAAGGACAGTTGTGATTTCATTTAGGATACACCCAGATCACCTGGCACAGTCTCCCTAGCTTAAGATCTTGAACTCAGTTAAACTTGCAAAGTCTTTGCCACATAAGGTAACATTTACAGGTTTCAGGGATTAGGACCTGATATGTTTGGGAGTCATCATTTAGCTTACCACATGCCATGACTGGTATATATCTAATACAATGTGCATATCATATTATCTGCTTAGGAAAGGAGTAGGGAAATAACCGAGGACATTACATGAGTTGCTACTATATGGCAGGCATCTTTCCTGGCTTCCTGCCTATCCAACATTTTGACCACCTCCGTGGGGCCGCGGCCTGTTGATTTACGACCGCTCATGACTCGGACTCCTTGAATCATTCCCAGGCCAAGAGCGAAGACATGCCCTTCCAACCTTTAAATCATTATTTAGTTCCTTTACGAAATTCCAGTTTGCCTTAATTATGCTAAGGCTAAACAGAAAAAGGAAGTTTTGTCCCCCATTTGAGTTAGAGTTTTAAAGGGGATGGTGATGTGGTATGTTGGCAAAGTATGAGAAAGCTGCAAGGGAAAGTGAAATGCAAAGGGCCAAGGCACCCCTGGCTTGCCTAGCCCCTCCTTCTGCTCCAATGCACACAGGCACCTGGAGAATCATTTTCTGAAGCTCTAACTTGAAAGGTTTTAGGCTTTGGATTGATAAGGGAGGGTTTTCCTTAAAGCAGTGGTTCTTAACTTTTAGCATGCCTCAGAGTCACCTGGAAGGCTACTTTGGACAGATTGTCGGTTCTTACCCCCAGAGTTTCTGATTTAGTAAATTTAGACTTGGACTCAGTAATCTGCATTCTCAATGCTGCATTCCTAGAAGCTGATTCTATTGATCTGGGGTCCACACTTTGAGAACCATTCATTGCTTTAGAGGAT